CAGTATAGTAAACTGTTCAACTTGCCGAACACGTGCCTAAGTGAGGGAATGAAAACTGTGACACCATTTCCTTTTCTATAAACTTACAGCTACAAACCATATCTATCTCCTCATTCATCATCAAACAGCTAACAGCTAACTCTAACAAAGTAAACTATACATACCTAGATATATTATTCTAACTAATGCACTACTTAGCAGACAGCTGACTAGACATAAGCAATGGAAAGGCAAATTATCGTCAGCACAAGGAGGCTACAGGAAGACAGGTAATGAAGTGAAAAAAGAAATAGATGGCATTCAACGCACTACAACTTTGCCAAGGGAGTGAGCGCAGAAAGAGTGCGTGCAACTGACTGACTTGCTATTCGCACACCGTAGAGCAATCGTCAAGCACATAGTGTGCGGAGGAAAGATTGGCAAACTGTCGCAACATTAGCACAGAGTACGTTTTCGCTCATTTCACATACCATACAGTACAGAGTATATAGTACTAATCTGACTTGCTAACTTGAGCATTGCAGCACAGCACATCTACTCATCATCACATTTCTGCTGCTAGAAATGAAGAATATAAAATACTGCTACACGGATAAAGGAAGGACACCTCCACCCCAGTCAGTGAATGCTCTTCGCTGGCTTGCAATAATAGCTAAGGACAGGCAGATTGCTCTAGAGCAGTAACTGTGCTCGATGACTGCAACCACTGTGCACTCCATTCCTTCCTTCTTACTTACAGATGAAGAAATCCTTGCACTCTTACACTTTCCCTTGCACCAACTCATGCACATGCACTACTACTACTCACAAAAACGCCAAAATTAAACAAATATTAATCTGCTCTACCTAAATATACTTACCATTACTATCGCATTCATGCTACTACGCATACTTCATTGTGTGTGTGAGTGAGAGTACGTATGCTACGTATGCTTAAAAGTGCACCTTTCTATATATGTGGGTATACGAATAAGAACCTACGTGTGTGCTACGTTCCTCATAGATTGTACTTGTCTATTATAATGTGTCTCACTAATATACATGCTTGTTTTGTTTTGTTTTTGTTTTGAATGTATTTTACAAAATTAGTTTAGAATTGAAGAGGAGCGTGTTAACTCTTTAAAATTGACTGTACTGATGCCATGACTAGTAAGTAATTAGAAACGATAATATGCAGTTAAAGTTGAAATAGTCGGTAAGCAAGGCTAAGCTAAACAAATGAAACGGCTAGAAGAAGCAGTTCAAGTTTTTCTAACAAACACGCCAACAATGTGCTTGAATTCCATGACAAAGCAACCACCAATTGCTTCTTTACTCAGTACAAGCTGATCAATCATATTAACAACTTGCCTTGTTCAAGCCAACTTATCTTTCTTCTCTCCTTTCGAATAACACATGCCCCTTATTGTAAATAAGCAAAAGTGCTTTGTTGCAACACAACTAAGTAATGATAATAGTTATGATTACTTACATTTTCCTCCCACTACAATGTATTCATGCTTAGTTTTAAAAACACGCTTACACCTATGAAGAAGCAATTTTTTTGTTATGGTGACACAGTAAATACAACTGCTTACTTTCTTGTGATCTAGCCGATTCTGCTTTGATGCCTCAAAATATTGTCGTTTATCTTTATCACTCATACTCTTCCATTTTTCACCCATCTGTAAATAGAAATAAAATTGCAATTCCGATAACAATACTAAAACTGAATGATGTAACTCAGGTATTCCAAGAATACACCGACCACTCTACTCGCTTCATGCATCTTCATATTTGGGTTTAGAGCGAGCAGTTTCTTTCGTTCCTGCTTCGTAAATATCATATATGCATTCAAAGGTCTTCTAATAAACTGATGATCATCTATAAAATTATTTCTTACGGTTATTTGTTTTAAAAAAAATTATTGACATATTTATATACGAAACAGCATATTACATAACGTTTGGATTTTTTTGCATACAAAAATACTTGCTCAATACAATACGTTATATTAGTTTTAGAAAAGAAATAAACAGACAGTAAAAGAAGTTTAATATTATGCTTAGATTCAAATAAATTCAAAGAAACCTAATGGTGACGAAGACTGTATCCGATGCATATAAATGCTGCTCGGTAATGGTGAAGCATGCGAACTTTCTATTGTAACATTTTCTCCCACACCACTTTGATACCTGAAAATTTTATAAACTGAAAATAAAAATGTGGGATTTCAGTCTCATCAAAGTAAGCAGGAAACTTTTTAAGATATGCAAACTTAAAGCATAAAAAATTACATTATTCTCAGAACACGTTTCTCATTACTAATGAAGTAAATCATGCATTAAAACTGTGGCATATGAACTACTTATTTTAGAACGAACACTTGCAAAGATTACTGAAGCACTTCAAATCATTTAGTGTTATAAAAATTAACTAAGAGAGGCTTTGTACAATTACAGTCAAATATAAAGTACATAGAAAATTATGGATATAAGTATACCGCAATTAACATAGTAGCTGCAAAATAATACAGCTCGATTAACTTCATTAATGAGGTTATTTCATTGATATTAGTATACTTATATCCATAATTTTTCTATCATGGAAATTAAAATCTATGAAGAGCTGCATAATACTGACAGTTTACATGCTTGTATTTAAAATTACTGTCGAACATATTTCAAATTTTAAACTATCTGCTGAAGATAACTAACCCATTTGATCCAGCACCTTGGCTATCAGGTTGCGATGATGACGCCGCCGGAGATGATGACTCGCTGTTTAAAAGCAATGGGGTCGAACTGCGACTTTCATCCAAAGACATTCAATCGGGTATACTTTGTGAAATGCCGCTAATACAGGACCTATTTCCAGAAAACACTAATGTTATTTTACACCAAGAAAATACAATGACAAAGGATAAAAACATTTCATAGCTTCGAAGATTAAAATTGAAATTCTTATTGAAATCGTTTACGGAGCGTAAATTACAGAGAAATTAAACAATTTCATGCCTTTAATTTTGGTACCTCACTTAGTACTATTGCACGCTTACTTTATCAGCAAACTATTTATTTGATAACTTTGCAATAATATTATGACATAAGTTGAGCGAAACGTTCATAATTATTCCTGATAGTCATGGAAATGGAAATGTATTGTGTTTAATCAACTTCTGCTCATAAGTAATTAGTAGATTGCATTACTCACTGTACAGTCAAGCCTTACTGCGCGACATGCACAATAATGCAAAGATATGATAAATATTGCTTTGCTTATCTCTATCTATCACTGCGATTCCGACACATATACAATTTTTATATTATTGCTGTAAGATTTTAAACGCTAAAATATGACTTTTTTGAGTTATTTAGAGTAAGTAATACTCATATCATTCACTTGTAACAACGAAAATCGAGAAGAAAGATTGACGAATGGCTACTTAAAATAAAAGCATTAAAAAAGTGATAGTTCCAACAATCACTGTGGTTTGCAAACATTTTTCCAGCTTGTAATCATCTCATCAATCAATTACTCATAGCATGCCTTGTGTTAAATTATGCACACAATATACTGCATAATATTACTACTATTTTTGAATAATTGTAAGTAAACTGAATTGCATTGGGAAGTGAAATCCAATGTAATTTGATCAAATATTAAGTTTAAGTCGAAAACCTGATAATATGTAATTACTAAAGAATTCAGAAAAATTACAGCTTATTGATCAGAAAGATTATGCTGCAAAAATTTTAGATCATAAGGTCAAAGTTCAAACTATGCTCAATGCCAACTCGAACTCCGTAACTTCTAATTGGCACCATAGTTTTATTCAATGAAATAACAATTATACAAAAAAATTACTGCATTCAAGTTATGAGCTAAAAAAGATCTTCAGCTATTGCAGCACAAAAATAAAATTCAAAATTGTACCGTAAAAATTTTAAGTAAATCAGTTTCCTAGTTATTTTTTGCTTTACTGGTCATCTAGTGAAAGGCCAGCAACTTCATCCATTTCAATGAGATTGTTATTTTTTGTATTCATTTCACATTTAACTCGTTTTTTTAATTATTTTATTTTATTGATTGATTTATTTGCAATTTATCATTTATTTAAAAATTCATCATAAAATGGGAGCATAAAACCCTTTATCATGCCGTCTCTGGTAAGTATTTTTTTTAAAATTAATTTGTCACTTCAGCTGTTTATCTTTGCAATATATGTTAACTGCACTGGTGTAATTAATAAAGTAGCGGTGTCTTTGTAAGTAAAGTAGTATTAATTTTGCAAGTTATTGTATTGTTATACAAGCATATTTTAAGTAAACACGTTGTTATTGTAATTGTTAGAATTATTAATTAGATGTTAAGTTCAAAGTTCAAATTTAAAATTGGTATTTAAAAGTTAAAATTACCACCAATGGCACTTTTCTTATTTGCAAACCAATTATGCAAATCAATCGTTTATTTATGTGTTATAATATCAACATTTAATAGAACTAGTTTTGCATTTTAATTTTTATCTGAAAGATTTACAGTTCATTTCTATTTTAATCTAATTAGCTTTGACTATTTAAATCTGTACAAGTGAATGAATGAAATGGATATGTGAACTATTAAGTCAAAGTTTGCCTGCAGTTCTCATCTGATAGCAAACTAATTGCTTATAATTAACTGTGCATTGCAAGAAGTTTAAAGTAGTATCACATTTTGATTATAATAAAGTTGAATTTTCCAAAGTTGTGTGCTCACATTAAAAAGTCAACTTCTGACGCTGAAAAATTCAAGTATGAGATGATAGCTTACTGTATGATCATTAAAAGAAGAAGAAAAGACTCACTCGTGCAAATTTTATCAAATCATACAAAAGTAGCAGCAGAAATTAATGATTGAATGAATGAATGAACAGATGAACGAATGAATGAATGAACGGATGAGCGAATGAATGAATGAACGGATGAGCGAATGAATGAATGAATTAGTAAATGAGTTATTAATTGATAATAGCAATTATTATTTAAAGGCTAAATATTAAGAAATTGATTCATCATATCCTTTTCGTCTTATTTATCCTGTGTTATGACATTCAAGCCCATCTATGATAAGTTTATAATATACTTTTTTAAGAA